TTTTTTTTTTTTTTTTTTTTTCCAAATGTTGAAGTCTGACCATGGATAAAAGTTAAAACTGAGAATTTAAAATATAGATGTAGAGAGATGTAAAGTTAAATTCCTAAGTCTGTGTTAATTAGTTCATAGTTTACAAAGCCATACTTAATTGCTCTAAGAAGCTGGATGTCATTTTGGTTTTTTTTAAGTCCTCGGTTTAGTGTTTAGTTGTAGGTGTTGCCTGCATTTTGCAAATTGTACCATAAAGCTTCTTGACTTGTACTGGGAATGTTGTTGTTGACTTAGAAATATAGTGAGGCCAATGCTGTCTGAGTACTTTTGAGAGCCTGAGGAAGGGCACTTGATGCCTGAAAGCTTGTCCACCTGCTGTGCCAACAATACAGTTGGTCCAATAAAATATATCACAAAAAATCCTTGTCCTAACATGGAACTGTGATATAAATTTAAAGAATTCAGAATTAGAAATATTTCTGTAACAACTTTGTTTTCTTGCTGTCCAGCTTAATAAAAATACAGGCACCCCCCATTTAACGTTGTTTCACTTAGTGCTATTTGTCTATAATGCTTGTTTTACATTGATACCCGATACCACTTAGCACTCCTCAAGTTTCATTATAACGCTTACAGGCATCGGATAACTGGCAGCAGGTTTCACTTAACGCTATTCTGCTTAGCATCTTAATTCGTTCATGAAAAACCAAGTGTTAAGTGGGGGTTGCCTGTAAACAAATTGCCACTATTTATATTGGTTTGGTGACAGTTCGAGCACATGAGTGGTATTTCCTGCTTGCAGTATTGATGCAGATAGGTCCACAGAAGTCGAGCTTTTCATAGGATAATAGAAAACAGGGCTGGAAGGGACCTCATCTTATCCAATTCCCTGTTCAAGGCAGGATTGTCTCTGTTTAAATCACTTGGATGAGATGAGCAGTATTTGGCCCTTGGGGCTTAATACTGCAGCATCCTTTTCATGTGAGACTGCCAGGATGGCTGCAAATAAATTCACGAATGAGTTGTCATTCTGCGTCTTTGGGTCTTAGACCACATCCTGGATTATACAAAGTTTTTGTTCTTCAGCGTAGGGATGGTGATTTACTGATTTAGTTAAACATGTGGAACTTTGTACATGGACATTTTACTCCCAGTTGAGTGCGCCCAATATCTCACCCTAGGTAGCTTACTCCTCACGCTTGTTCAGTTTGCCTTGTGGTGTAGTGGAGGGAAAGCTTCCAAAATATGATAAATGAGGTGTATCTGTTTCCTCTCCTGCTGGAGGTAGGTTTCATGTTCCAACACATTGTGCAAACTTGCTGCCTAAAACTGCAACTCCCTGGTCACTTAGCTTGTCCCCGCTTGTGTTGGTAAGGATGGGGCTACTTGCTTCACAAGGGCAATTCGATTGAGGAAGACCTTTCATGTTGAGGATCATGGAGTGTCTAAAAATCTTTTACTTGGTTTTCACCAACCAAGCATTTAAAAACAAAACAAAACATGTATTGCTAATAGTTTCCACCTGTGGTATAATACTGTCTTCCTACAGAAGCCCCTATAAATATTTCATCAGTAGCTTGGTAACATTAGATTTCTCTGGCAGGGGACACTTGTTTTATTTGAATGAATGTTTCATGCTTGCTCTCTTAAAAAATTTAGAGGGAGATTCTTTCTCTTTAAAGTAATTGCTGATTTCATTATCTTTTTCCGACCGGGAGGGTTAAAAGATGCGCATGTTGAAGGACAAATATGCAAGAAGACAGCTTTTTTGGAGGGGGGTTGGTGCAAATGATGCCATTGTAAAATGTGTGATGGCACAGGCTAACATATTTTTATGGGTGTGTGATTCAGATGATATGCTTTACTGGTGTGGGTCTTTTCCTCCCATGATTTGGGCACACGCTCCAAGCTTGTGCCAACAAAACCTTCATGCCGCAACACATTTTCATGTATTTTGTTCAAGCTCCATTTTTATAGAAGGGAATTGCCTACTTCAAAAAAAAATTAAGTTTAAAAACTCTTGCATCTTTTTGTCTCTAGTCCTAGGATGCTTTAGTACTTGTTCTGTGAGCTCTTTAGGGCAGATGCTTTTGTCTGCAAAGCATTATGTTAATACAATGATGAATTTTAAAAGCTATGACTGTTTTGCTTTTCTTTTTTTAAGGGTTAGTGTCTTCTGGCAAGGTAGGACTTAAAACAATCAACCTTGCACCATGCTGTATCCATTAGAAGAAAGTCAGGTTCCTAGATGCCTACTATAGGTATAAAGCAAGTGTCCCAGGCTAGACCGATTTTTTTTTTTTTTTTTCTCTCCTGAGGTGGGCAGAAAAATGTCTCCTCTGTAGGAGAGAGAGGGAGAGGAGCTTAAACATTTGGAGTGGTCTCTTTGGGCAATGTGCAGTGAGGAGTAGAGGATTGTAAGCTGTTTGGAGCATTAGAAAGTTGTTGGAATTTGCCTAATGGAGGATGGTTTAGGGGACTAAGTGCTTAATTTTGACTTGAACTTTCCCTTTCACTGATGACCTTTTTAAGTGGGGACTCATGTTTTTTTTGTTGTGTCATAACAAAATTAACAGACTTTTTATAGTTTTATCTTGTTTGCCTCTTGTAGTGTGATGAGCAAATGCAATATCAATTTTTATACTCTCGACTTCTTGTAAAACATGTAGCATAGTGTACTGATCTTTCCTCTTATTTTGCAGCAAATCACTGACTTAAAAAAAGAGAATTTCAACTTGAAGCTTCGGATATATTTTCTAGAGGAGCGGATGCAGCAGAAATTCGATGGTCCCACTGAAGACATCTACAAAATTGTAAGGATTTAAACTCGCTTAAAGGCCTTGTGTAACTTTCCATAATGCCAAGTCGTCAAACTTTTAAGCAGCTGGGGGCCAAATGCCCAGTAGGGGCTCCACGGTGAACCCTGAGCTGTATACCACACAGATGTCTCCCACTCTCCCCTCCCTCCCTGCTGCCCCATATACCCATGTACCTCCAGGGTCATCTTCAGTTGCCCTGGTTGTGCTGTGCTGTGCTGTGCTGTGCTGCACTGTTGCAGGGGCAAGTAGCAAAAGCCAGAAGAGGGATGAGGAGCCTGTTGCAGCCAAGTGATGGGGGAGTGGCAGCTGGGCAGGAGCTGGGGACTGCAACTTAACTCTTTGTGGGCTGCCAGTTGGACAGTCCTGCCATAGTTT